AAAAAGGGTTCGATGAAGTGTGGAGAAAGTAATGAGTATATTTTAACGACTGACGTACCCCCCCCCCCCTAGTGGGGGACAAAATGTAACAGAGCACGAGGCTAGTGTGTGCGAGTGAGTCGACTGGTTTTGTGTATGTTGAGATGATAAGTAAATAAAAGAGAAAAGGCACAACGCTACAATATCAACTACATCAAGTAGTTTATTATGCCATCTGAGATTTACTTAAACGACTTTAATTTTTAATACGAGAATATACAGCAGCTACCACGTATGTGAACGATCCTCGGCTGATATTATCTTGACATTTTAAACACTGATCAAATTGGCTTTMATGATATCTTTATTCTTTCTCAAATGTTAGAAGAACTAATCCTGCTGCAACGACGACTACCTCAAAAAGGCATCACTTTAAGTTCTCTATATCTCAAAAAGTACTGGGGAGCCCTGGGGAGCCCTGGGGAGCCCTGGGGAGCCCTGGGGAGCCCTCATACCACATGCAAGGAACTTTCCTCCATTACTTTTCGTTATAGTTTCAACACGAGATCCCATTTATTTAAAGAGTAAACAATAGAAATATGAAGCAAGAAGTTTCAGACAAAATGAATCGAGATCAAAAATAAACACACGAATACGAATGAGCATAAAACCTCTCAAAAGCAAAATTTTGAAATCAAACTTTTGTAACACCTTCAATATGACATGCACTTTAATCCTACAAGATTTCATTCCAAAAGCATACAAATAAATACTACAAAGTCTAAGAAATCTATCACTTGCCTTCTCATTTCTCCTCCGCCATTTTTGCTWTTCCCTCTCTCAGAATAGAGGGTTCTGATTGGCCAATTTGCACTACCGTGAAGCTTCGCGCGCTGTGTCTAACCCCCCCTGACTTGTACCACAACCAATGCTACAACCCCCCCCCCCTTTGAAAAAATCCTGGATCCGCCCCTGTAACGTTCGTAAGTAGATGACTAAGGCCTAGGGGAAACGTCGAAATTTCCATGCACCGAACTCATTAAAAACAATGGATTTCAAGTGATAATGAGGCGGCATTTTTTGATGCATGGAAAGTTCGACGTTTGCCCTAGGCCTAAGACTATTGATAAACGTTTAATTATCGATCTGCTAAAATCTTTTGTGAGCGAGCGAGTGACACTTCAGACCCCTCTCAATAACTCGTTTCTACGCTTTGCGTATACACGAGTTAAAAAGTAYTGCATAGAAAATGGTATAGATGTTTGCGTGGCTCGAATAATCACGATAGCGTCATTTTCAAATATGGGAGGATAAAGAGGGTCACAAGTTATCTCACTGTTACGTGTTACCTGCTTCGTTAATTATGTAGGGTTTGTTGTTTTCATTGCTCATTTTGCATGTTATTGTGACTCGTATTTTTTGCCATGGGCATGCACTTAAAAACAGTTTATGTTGAATACTTTGATAAAACCTTTCCATTAGGCTTGGTAGATTTGTTATAACTGGATGGATGGATAAAAGTTTRAAGTGCCTATCACCCTTCTARCAATATTTTCAGAATCGATTTAACAGGGCGTAAGATGTCGAATGATCCGAAAATTGCATAGTTTGAGTGCGGCTTCGTGAAGTTATAAAGGTTTTTCTATGCCATATGCTAATGAGTGTGACGTATGAGGAGGCATTTATGGTTATTTGTTGTTCCTCGTAATTCAAAACACCGGCTTCTATGTGAAAACTAACTCGCACTAATTTCTATTAGAGCAATGGGAAAACGATGACGTATTTCAAATTTAATTTATCTGTACCAGTAAATGATTTGTA